TCTAGGCAAGAACGAAATGGCAATTCCCATAGGAGTCTCACGGGTGTCCCTTAAAATCAAGAATACACATTCGTTGTAGGAATATATATATATATATACTTAAGGGTGAATACCTTTTTCCAGTTGGCTGGGACAAAGTCTTTCGCTTCTTATCTACCACGAATGCAGCGGGAAGCACGAGATACGACACGGAACAGATTTTAGCGTTGATCGAAGGACGTGAGCCCTTCCTTCTAAGGGCTTCTCTCCTCGTTTCCTTTATACTTTCGCGAAAAGAACGTTTGGTAGAACAATGTTACGGTAATATTCGTAAGTGCTTATTACTCGATTTTCTTTCTAATAAATCAAAATCGTGTTACTTTTTTTGCACGAGGAAAATAATGATTAACGTAAATTTTTTACGTTGCATATTGTTTTTTTATTTTTATTATTATTATTATTATTATTAATATTATTTATCATTGTTTCCTAGTTTTAATATAATAAATTGAGAGTCGGTTGGATGCGTTACTACTGATTAAATTTGTTCCCATCTATACGGAGTTGAAATTTAGTATTACATCGTACATTATGAAGGTTTTCCGTGTGTTGATCGAGCAAACGGGCTTTCTATGTATTTATCAAGAAGCTTCATTATTCGTGTGTAAGTTTAGAGAATATTTAATATATATCTATGTGTATTTTATAACGATGATTTATCAAGTAATCTAACACATTTTATAAGTATTATTAAATAATGTTGAAATTTAAGATAAAATGTTTTGAAACTTTTCATTGGACTAAGAGCATTTTTTAAAAAATATAAATTTTGTTATAAATTCTGACATAATAAGAATATGTATATTAAAGAGTGTACATTTAAAAAATTGTTTCATAAGAAATTTGGTCACTTTAATTATGATCAATTCGTCCGGTAAAAATAACATCTGACAATTTTTCTTTCTTTTTATTATTGGCAAAGAAAAAAAAACCAAATAATTTACAATCAAAATGTATTTAATTACGGTAAATAATATTCGTTAAATATTACATAGATGATTTATTTCTATCAATTATTATATTGAAATTTTGTTCGTTTAACGAGATTCCAATTTCTATCGTTCCAATTAAATAGGTCAGAAATACGTTTTAACATTATCTCAATCAGAAGAGGTAGACAGAGAAGATCGAGGAAAATTAATATCTAAGGGAAAAGTTTTCGCAGAAACTCTGACGATTCATGGGGGATCATTTTCGATGGAAAGTAGAGAATACTGGAAGAGAGCACGCAATCGACATTCATTGTAATAGAAAAGTTAGAATGGTTGGCTCTCTTCGTTATTTTGAAATCTTTCCGTTCATCAGACGCGATCTCGTTTGATTTCCCTCTTTTTTTTTTTCCTTTTTTTTATTATTGCTTCCTTTTCATCGACCGTAGGATATTTTTCGCTAGTTGTTCGACCGTACGGTAAAAATAAGAAATAAAATCAAGAGGGGTAGCATATGTGCGGATGCACAAAATGAACTGTCACTTTCCATTAATTCGAACTTTATTTTCACGCAAACAAGTTTAACGTTGGAAACAAAAAAAGAACTAGTTTTATATTCTTCTATCCCCGGTCGATCTCACTTTTATTTTAAAAAAGAATATAGAAGGTTAAAACTTTTCAAAAGCAACCCCTGTAAATGAATCTAATGACTATGAAATATTTCTTTTTTTTTTATATATATAAATAGAAAATACCATAGAGATTTTCAGCATAACGGTACTCGTTTAATTATGTTATCTATAAGTAATAAACTGACACACACACGGAAAATTCGTAAGTAGAAGTTACTATAAGCCAGGTAGAAGTTTATAAAATTTCTCTAAGTATTACCGTCGACCAATGACGTACGACTCCCTCGCGAGTGCAATTTCGAGAATGGAAACTGGTCGGACTACGACGGAAAGTTGTTTACGAAACACGGTATATTCACTATGCCGAGGCATCAACGCTAACTGCAATTTCTATCACGTGCATTCAATCAAGTGGCTGGTAGTAGGGCGCAACAGTGTTTTAGATAATTGGACATCGTAAATTTCGGAACATGCATAACATGTGCACCACCTGCTACACGGTGATCCTAAAGCAATTAGTTCAATAACATGGTACTCCATGGTGGCCAGCCCCATCCGCAAATCGAATTTCTCGAGGAATCGCCGGCGGTCGATAACGTTATTGTACTTCGACAGATCTAATTACTAGAGGATGAAACATTCTTAGAATGCTCGACTTATGGTTTTTTCTTTTTTCTTTTTTTTTTTTCTTCTTTCTTTTTATAGTAAAATGTGCAACGTTCAACGAGCATGAATGAATACTAGTTTCCTTTTAAAATTATTTCACCGTGTACGTATTTGTTTCAAATCTTATCATTTAGTTAAAAAAAAAAAAAAAAACACGATGTTTGTATCGATCTAAAGAATAATTTTGAAATGTGACGATACGTTAGAAAAAATATTTGAAAAATTTTTACGCAATCATTTTAAGAGTCGAGAAACATTTCGAATTTATTTTGTTGCTTATTACGAGATCAAGATTTCATTTATTTTATTTCCGTTGTCTAAAAGAAAGTAAATATGTAACTGATGGCTAAATGTCACGGTCTTTTATCTTGAGAAGGAATAAAGGATTTGACCACGGAAGTGAGAAAGGTATCAACTAGGAAAGTACCCCCCGCCCCGAAGCTTTACACCAATGTATCACTGCTGCCTGGTTTACTGTGGGTAAAATTAAAATTTATTGCGAGTCTTTTACATTAGAGCTTGGACCCCTAGTGTCAACCTTCTGACAAGAGAACTGAGTTAAACCGCTCAGCATTTACCCTCAACAAAAAAACTTCTAATACAATTTTTCGGACAAGAATTTTTAACATATATATATATATATTTAAAAATTTATATTATAATATATTATCTGGATTGATAAAAAAAGAAATTAATTGATGATGTCGATAAGAAGGATTATTTGTTATCCGATTGAGAAATTATTATTTATTATGAAAGATGAAAATTTGTATAGTGTTTAACTTTGGGAAAAAAGAACAAGCATCAGTAATGCAAAATGTGTTATTGACTCGAATTTTTGTCTACACAATATCGGTTTTTACTTCAACGGTGACTTAACAATGATAAAGTGTGTGTATACTAGGAAACAAGTTTAACTTTATCGAGCAGAAAAAGACGTCTCATGAGTTCGTTTTATTTTTCAGAGAAACTGTGATAATTGAAAAATTCTTTTTTACTTATTTTCTTTATTACTTTGGTTTATGACACAACAAGATATTAAATTCTTCTGCTATTTTTCACAAAAGAAATATCTTCTTTTTCTTCATCGTTTCTAATATTTTCATTATACTATATATAATAATATAAATGAAACAACTATGAGATGAACCTTTGTAAAAAAAAAAAAAAAAGAAAAATGTACATTTTATAGGAAACTCAATAAAATTAATAATCTGTTCTTTTGTTTGTGTTTAAGATGGTTAATTAATTTCATTAAGTACACGTTCTTTGTTAACGATAAATTATGAACGACTATCTTTTTCGCCAATTAAAAAAACCTGTAGCTAATTCACGGTATGATCTAATATAGATGCATTTATTTGATTATTAAAGAGTAAGCATCAATTATTTTTATGCACTATTATAGGTCTCAGGATTATTAAAAAATAAGCATTCTTGATTCTGCGTATACATATATATGTATATTTTATTATTTAGAATAGAATGTTATGAATAATTATGTAACGCTTTTTAATATTTCTTTATTGGCAATAGCATGCACGCTGTGTTAGATTCACTTTTTATATTTTCTTTCGCAAATGCATTCCAGTGAATTTAAACGACGTACAATATTCATTCTCGTATTTTGTAACATACTTTGCCAATCATTCGCTTTTTACAAAGTGCATAGTTCATTTATTTTTTTTGAAGTGAATTTATCGTTTTTTCATTTTTTTTTTTGTATTTCCGACTCTGTATGTCAAATTAGTTCACTTTTTTTTCTAGACTTCAATATAGTTGAATTTTATGCGCGACTATGCAGAATTATAATATTTTAATTCGACTACCGTTGGTTGGCAATCGTTATGGTGAAATATTTCTTACTTTTTCAATTGTGTTCAGCAATTTTAACAGGAAAAGTTATTTCACTCTGGAGTGTTCGTGTCTCTTCTCGAGACACATTTATTTCTTCTTTATTCGAATAATTACCCAAGCTTTTCGTAGAATTTTGTAAGAAATATATTTTTGTTCTTTTTTTTTTTTTACTATAAAGATTATTGATAGTTATTTTGTATAGAAAACAATGCGTCTAACATTAACGTTCAATTAGAAAATGTTTAACTTATAATTCGAACGGATTGGTATAATCTGAAGCAACTTTTTTACACTACCATAATGTAGATAATCGATAAAAGATAAAGCTAATATTTCGTCTTGTTTACTTTAGCCATTTGAATTTTAATTAATGATATATATTTACTCGTTGGATCAGTGTTATGCTTGAGTTTATCAGAAACTTTCGGATAATACTTTATTGAAATAATTAAAAATAAAGAAAGGTAATCTAGATTGAAGGAGTTTGTTCGACAAAAGAGTGGCTGGGGGCAGTAGGTAAACGTATAATTATAACGGGATGATCTCTAAGATATTCATCTCTGAAATCTTACATTTTGTAGCTTTTAATCCTTTCGAAAGTCACTTTAATCAAAATTAAAATAATATTTTAACAAATCGCGAGCGGGGTAAATGTTACTAAAAATGATTTCGAGTAATGCTCACGTTTATTAAACATTAAGCAAAAGATTGCACATATATGAACCGATGTTTGATTAGAATTTTTGTAAAATTAAAAAATTAAAAGTGGAGAAAAAAACCGTTAAATTAATAAAATAATTATATAATATTGCGTTATACGATTGGAAAGTAAATATTTTTTTCATTGATACAAGTGTTCTTATATGGGACGTTTCAGATGAGTCGACCTTGTTCAAGTCCACGCTCAAATCGGTATTAAAAGAGGGATGCTAATCAGAGAAAACGTACATTCGAGATCGGACCTCAATAACCAATGTGAACCAGACAATATCAAGACTTACGTGTTACTTGCGTTTGATAAAAATTCGGGTGAGTACTTAACGCTGTTACGATTTTGTCGCGATTATTCAAATTGGAAAGTCTTGGGATTGGACTGGCATTGTTTCAAATTTAAATCAAAAATAAAAAAAAATAGGAGGATAATAAGAAAAATAAATAAACAAGCAAAATGCATCTCAGAAAAAAGAAATGATCGTTTTGCAAGTACGTCGGAAAAAATTTATATTACGAAATTTGATGAAAATTCGTTTTGTCTTATTTCATCAAGAATAAATGTTAATCTACTAGGGGAAAGGAGATGTAATATTTAATATAATTTAATCCAGAAGAGATACAAACGAGACCAATTTTTTCTTTAGGGATTTAGCGAGTTCGCTGTTTATTTGTTTATATATATATAATTGTCTTAACGGCTACTAATTTTATTCCCCTATCCATGGAAAATCCTCGGGAGGTAAACCTTCCACGCTTATATTAAATGAACCGAGAACCGCGTTTTATTGTTTACATCGAGAGAAAGAGAGAGTGAGAGAGAAAGAGAGAGATACTGCAAGCATTCTTGTTCGTTATTAATTAGAATGTTATACGCGTACACCGCGAATTCTACTAGTCGAGCTACTATCCTATTAATATCCCTATTATTTGTTAGTCAGGCGTGTACTTAATTAAAATGTGGATTACATTACTTGTATATCATGCATGACTGACCAAAGCAATGATCAAATGATCGCAAACCTTTAAATGCATATATATGCATTAGAGAGAGATATCTTATTATTTGAGCTCTAAATGATCACACATACACACACACACACACACACACACACACACAATATATATTTATATTATGTTAATTAAATTTTAAATTAGAAATCAATTTTTTGTTTGTAGACATATTGGTACATTTTAAACCATATCTAATAAATGGATAAAAGATAAATGAAATTTATATTTGGAAATAAATCTTTTAGATTGTTTTTTTAGGAGATAAGAAAAAGAATTGTATTATTAAGTAGTCAACAACGATCCTTGACCCGTCTAATAATATCGTTTCAACTCCTTTTACAAAGTATAATAATTCAAACGACAAAAAAAATTCGTTCCCCAAGTCTCGATGAGAATTTTCTTTGACGGCATTTCGTAACTTCTTTTCCTCTTTTTTCTTTTTTTATTCTCTCCTGTTTAAGTATTCTCAAAGAGAAAGGTGTAACGCGAAGTTACACCGATAATAAAAGAGAACAAAAAATATAGTTAAGATACGCTATCATAATAATATAATAATAATAATAACCGTTTCAATATAAAAACATCAAAGTATCTTACGAAAAAGAAGTGAAATGGGGTGAGGGGGTAAATTTACTCATGTCAGATCATATTTTTTTTTCTTTTTTATTTATTTTCGAGATTACCTTTCCTGCATAACAATTATCGAGAAAAGAAGAAAATATAGAAAAATAGAAAAATGGGGGGAAAAATAGAGAAAGAGATAGATGACAGAAGTATGTGGAACAATCGAGGCCGTGCTAAAATAGCTCGTAAACGCGGTACACAATTTGAATCGGCAATGTCACGTCGTTTCTGCTATTGAAAGGCCGTCGTAAAACTCAAGTTCCGCGTTATCATAGTCCTCACCCTCTTCTCTCGCGATCAGTCGCAGCACCACCGTATCAGGAATTCCGTTGCATCTCCTGCTACTACTACTACTACTACTACTATTACTACTACTACTACTACTACTACTAATATTCGTCTTTCCTATGTGTTACGGACAGATAAATGACAATTGTTTTGACCTGGATTAAATATTTTCTCATTCATCTCTATACGTAAATATTTTATTTGCTTATCAATTCTAGCAACTTTATTATTGTACATTTAAATTTATATATGTTACCGTCAAAGCCAGAAATTCGTAATTGCTAGTAATTCCTCGGCATTGTTATCAATGCAAAGCGCCTTCCGACGAAGTCGGAAATAAGACTTTTTACAGAGTTTTTCCTAAGCATCGAACATAATACTTTGATATCCTATAGAATATCAAATTACTATTTAAACAACGTTGAAAAGAATACATTTTCGGGACAGGCACACACAGCCATACGCAACCACTCCCCCCCAAAACAACCCATACAGGTAAAAAACATTTCTTTCTAAACCTATTTATCTTCCGATACGATAGGCAACAAAAGATACAGATTTCCGTGGAAATCTCAATGAAAATGTCTAAAAAATATAGACTTAACCTTTGCACATCGATTTATAACTCGATAAGGTATTTTACACGTAGGAAATATCAGAGATTGCAATGCTATAAATTGTACAACTTTGCTAATTCTTTTAAAAGTTTTGGTAAATATTTTTTATACTAGAAGTGAATAGATTTTAATGAAACTTATATTTAATTAAAGTACACTCTTTTATCTACGCGTAGAATATCTTTTCGAGTTATAATTCGATTTGCAAAGGTTCAGAAAATGTCAAAGAATGAGATGCTGCAAATTTTTCCAACTTTGCCATTTGATTGAAAAGTTTCGGCAAATATTTTTTATACTTAGAGTGAATAGATTTTAATGAAACTTATATTAAATTAAAGTACACTCTTTTATCTACAAGTTGAATACTCATTTGAGTTATAAATCAAATTGCAAAGGTTCATAAAATGGCAAAGAAAAATTAGCGTATTAGGCATTGTTCACATTGCCTAAGGCCAGGTATTGTTAGCATTGCCGGGGGAGGTTTGGAACCTAGGCCGGTAGTGTTAACAATGCCTGGCCATCAGGCATTGCTCACATTGCCTGATCCGCCAACTTTTCTTTGCCATTTTTTTAACCCTTGCAGATTGATTTATAACTCGAAAAGGTACTCTACGCGTAGACAAAAGAGTGCACTTTAATTTAATATAAGTTTTATTAAAATCTATTCACTCTTAGTATAAAAAATATTTGCCGAAACTTTTCAAAGAAATGTCAAAGTAGGAAAAATTTGCAGCATCGCATTCTTTGCCATTTATGAACTTTTTCAGATTGGTTTATAACTCGATATGGTATTCTACTCGTAGACAAAAGAATGCACTTCAATTTAATATAAGTTTTACTAAAATCTATTCACTTCTAGTATAAAAAATATTTACCAAATCTTTTCAAAGAAATTGAAAAGATGAACAATTTACAGCAGTACTTTTTTGACGAAACATGCTTATATTTTTAATTAACACTTATATTTATATTTCTAATCAGAATTTTTGTTGAGGCAAAAATAAAATAATAATTTTATTAAGAGAATTTTTATTATTAATCGTCTGATCCGAGTATAAATCATGTGATGCACGTTTTTCTTTTTTCTTTTTTTTTTTTTTAATTAAGCAATCTCTAAAGGGTGCAAAAGAGACAGTAGATGAGAGATAAAAGGCCAACGTAGAAGCGCGACCCTATTATCGAGGTAGAAAATATTATCGTCCTCTATCAAATTTATCTCTTGGAACGTATCGTCATAAAAGATAATATAGATTTAATAGAGTGTGTGCCTGTATATAAAGGGCCGGTTGCATTATGCTTGGGTATTTTTCAAAATTGTGCTTAAAAGAGCGAGAAGATGTTTTCCATCAAAAGTCAGTGTTTCTGTATCGGGTTTAATGAATCTTCGTATACGTCCTGATTAGATACTGATTAAATAAAAAAATCTTGTTATTATAATATATATATATATATATATATATATTTAAATTAGAAAGAGATAACGAATAACAATAAGTTTAATATTTATTAATGTATACCGAATACGAGAGAATAAAGTAATACGAGGTAATAATAATAATAATAAATGTTTATTATTAAAATGAATTATTTAGAAAAGAATCTTATAATCGCGTACTTTTAAATATAATATAAAACAAAGAAGTTAATATTCAAATGAGCACACACGCGTAATAAACCAATATTGCAAAAAAGAAACATAAAAAATAGCGAATGATCTCGTTTTTCAAATTCTTGTTTCAATTAATCATCGAGTATTATTTTATAGTATAGATGAGAAAAGTATTAAAACAGTTATTATATTGGTAAATATATTGTCATTCGTATACGAACAGAGAGAGAGAGAGAGAGAGAGAGAGAGAGAGAGAGAGAGAGAGA